AATCATCAGGACCTGGGTTCGAGCCCCAGGTCCCCACCCTTTCCAATATTATTTTTTCAATTGACATTCTGTGCAGCTTCAACACTAAGGAACACCATACACCCCTTGATCCAGATTGCCACGCGTCCACAGAGATTGATCCATTGGCTCTGATCAGAGGAGCACCATGATCGTTGGTCAACACACATACACGCTGGCATAGAAGTCAACGAGGCCAGAACTTATTGGGCCTAAAAATGCTGATATACACCTCCAAATTAGGGGCAGAACCCCCTAGGTTTGCATTATTCCTTTTCATTATTTTGATATTATTTTCAATTATTGTCTTTATTTTAATTAATTCTTTAATTTAAATATTTTCACAATAATATAAAAAACACAAAAAAAAGGAAAAGACAAAAAATAAGTTTTTTTATTGAAATATCATTTTTGTAAATAAATAACATTAATTGATTATTAGTTTTAATTTAGGTTTAAATCTTAATGTTTTTCTTAATAAACTAAAATTAGTGGAATTAGGGTTTTAATTAATTTTTATCCTTTTTCTTTTCTTTTCATTAATAATTAAATATTATTTATTTTTGTAATTAAAATTACCATGTAATTAATTAGGTTAACTTAGGTTTGACTTTAATATTTTTTAATAAACTAAAAAAAATATATAATTAGAATTAGGGTTAGTATTTTAATTTCAATTAATCTCATTAAATTCTCATAAATACAAAAAACCAAAAAACAATTTCCTTTTCTTTTAAATTAATTAATTTAATAATCATTTAATTTAATTTCGTTAAGAGGGTCCAACGCCCTCGTTTCTAATTTTAATTCAATTCACGCGTTTTATTTCGTTTCTTATCATTTTTATGTACCTCTCCCAAGGCCATGTAATATTTATTTCTCGCTTTTAATTCTTTATTTTCCTGTCAAATCGGGTTCTGGAAATTTTGGCGATGTGGACCCGCGCCTTTTGTAATAGTTTAGAATTTTATCTTTCTCGCAATTTTTAACTGTTAACAAATGCATGCAAGAATGAATGGACAATAAATAAAAACAAACGCGTAGATCACCTATACCATGACAAGATAAAAATAAACGAATCTGACACACAAATCACACACCACCCCTAGGGTACGCCTCACTGTTGCCTTGCCTCGAAAGGTGATCGTCGAGTAGAGGATGTCTTAGTAAGTCCTCATGATCCGGGAACCTGGCATGAGGGTAGCTTCTAAGGTGTCTTCCCATTGCTCTGGTGATCACCATGTCCCGAACCTCGAATTGACCCGAACACCTCCAACGGTGGTGCTACCTACCTCTCAATGGTGGGATGGCACTACTTTAAAGGACATTTACACAGACGAATTCCTTAGGGTAGGTAGACGACTCTAGATACTTGCTCTAATTTCAAAACAAATCAAAAATACTTTTCACACCAACACATTTTCAAAAAGCTTTCGAAAGCAATTTTTCAAACACTCTTGAGGACCGATACAAGAGTCGAACTGAAATTTTCAAAGAATTTTTTTTTAAAACCCACAGTTGAAAAGCAAACAAACCATTTTTGAAAACACAAGTGAGCAAGTATCTAAGAGCCCATGGATAACCATGGATAGAAAGGGTGCTAACACCTTCCCTTTCTATAATCTACCTCCCGAACCGAGAGCAATCTCTATAAGGAATTTTTCTGTGCTTTTGTCCTTTCCATTTGGAGAAAATAAAAGACGGTGGCGACTCTTGCTTCCGCGACATTTCGCAAACCAGTGTTAAACAGTCAGTTCCAGATCCACCGATCACACTTGCCAAAGTTGGTTCTAACAGATATGTAAGATGTGTTGTGTTTTACAAGTTTCTTGTATATGAAGCAAAAGTGGACAAGTGATGCAAGACAGGTCTATACAGGCTATCTATCAGCTTTCACACTATTCTCTTGGCCCCTCAAGTTTGTGGATTTGATTTTCTGTACAAGATATGGTTCAATGCTCAAGGATGCAATTTGACATAAAGCAAGATTTTGACAAAAATGGCAATGTTACCTTTTACCATTTTTGGATTAATCTATTGTATAATCTTCTAATGACCAAAACAAAGCCTTATACCAATGGATTTGAATTTAATTATTGAGTATGGAAGGGTTGTGGGACCTGTAATCTAATGCAAACAAGGCTGATTAGAGTTTGCAACTTGTATCACTAAGAAAATGCCATGGATCAAAAGTTAGTTTTTGCCAACTTCAAGCCTTCGATTCTCCCTAACCACAAATGATTTTAGAGAGTTCTTGGAATTTTTAGAAAGCTTGTAACATGCTATACAGTCCATCTTTGAAATGAATTTTGAGATTCCAAGTGGAACTAGGTGAAAAATTGCCAAGAAGATAGGTCAAAATCCTGCCTAAACTAGGGCAAAATTTCACTAAGTTAAAAGTTTCATGGACCCTTGTTCCAAATATAATAACTTGAGATCCAAGCTTCTTTTGGGAAAAATTTGTGAAAAAAGTTGTAGATTTTGTGGAGGACTACTACTTTTATGTTGGAAGTTTTGTTTGAATCCAATTGCATCATGGTGAAAATGTTAGGCAAAGTTGGGAAAAAATAAGAAAATTTCATAACTTAGAAAAATTCTAAGTTATGAAATTTTCCAATTTTAAACCCTAATTTGCAAAATTAGGTTTCTTGATGAACAAGTTTCATGTTTTGACATATCTTGATGAAAAATGACCCTTGGCACTTGTTTTTGACCAAAAAGTCAAAGTTTGACTTTTCAGTGTACAATCAAATTTTGATCAGTTGACTGGAAAATTCATTTGTCAATCTAATGCATTTGGGATATTTTGAACCTTGTGAATAGGTCAAGATGATGCCATTGAGTCCTTGAGTCCATGCTTGAACACAATTTGCCATTGGCTAGGTGAAAAATCAGAAATTGCCTTTATACAGTCAAAACCCTAAAAATGACCATTTTGCCTTTTTGATGATCTAATCAAATTTCTTGAGGAGTTGTGGTCCAAACTTGATAAAATGGTTCATATGAGTCTATAATGTTGATGTGGATCAAAAATTGTGAGGTTTGACTGTAAATTGGCCATAGTTGACTTTTTCCCCAATACAGTTGATTTCTAGGTCAACTGTCCAATTGACTGGGCAAAAATTTGATTCAAGGCTTGAAACTTGGTAGAGGTAATCTTGTAAGTCCAACATGAAGTATGAAAGTCACTTTGAGTATTGAAAGTCCAAAAATCCCTGTGCAAACTCAAACCCTAATTTAGGTCATCAGTGCAAGGAGATGCCTTGATCAGAGCAAAACCCTAATCCTGTCTGGAATTCAAGGAGTCTTGTGAGGGGAAATCTTGATAAAATAAGAGGGCAAATTTTGGGGTACAACACAGATAAATACCGGTTTTCTTGTGACATCAGTATATCCTCAATAGATAGCCAACATTGTGCTCGTACTAAAGAAAGATGGAAAAGTCTGCATGTGCATAGATTACATATATCTAAATAAAGCTAGTCCAAAATATGATTTCACATTGTCGCACATTGATATGCTGGTTGATAGAACAACAAAATTTAAAGTATTCTCATTCATGCACGAATTTTCCCGATAATCAAATAAGAATGGATCCCGAGGACATCAAAAAAACAATGTTTATCACACCCCGGGGAACATTCTGTTGCAGAGTGATGCCCTTTGGATTGAAAAACACTAGTGCAATGTGTAGCGATAAAAAATGTAGCGGGGTAAATCGGAGATCGAATTATTGATTAATTCGTCTCACAAAAGCAAGAGTCGCCACCGCGCTTTATTGTTTCCAAGGGAAAAGGGGAAAGAGCGAAATAAACCCTAAAATATGCAATGAAAATACAAGGCGTTTTTGAAAAGAGATCTATGGTTCGGGGGTTGGTTATACAATGGGAAGGTATTAGCACCCAATATATCTATAGTACTCTATAGGAACCTTTTGAAATATCTGTTTTATTTAAAATTGATTGCTTGATTGAAAACAAATTGTTTTGGCCGAAACGGGTACGAACGGATTTTTGAACATACGACGACCTAACATCGAAGTTTTTGCTTAAAAGGGATAAGTTTTGAAAATAAAATGAATTTTTTTTTAAGGAAAAATTATCCTAAGTTTTTAATGAAATGAGGGTATTCGCCCAATGTTTTTTTTTGGTGACATGAAGTCGACAAAAAATTGGACAATTCCCTTGGATTGAAACGGACGAGAGATATACGGATTAACGATCAATTAATTAAAATTATAATTAAACGATTAACTAATGAAATTTAAATCATACTAGCATGCATCTTAAAAATTAAATAAATAATAAGAGAGCACATGAAGATTAAGAAAACATAGATTTTTTGATAATTAATCACATGACAAAATTAAATCATGAAACATGTATTTTTTGAATAATTAAATAAGCAACATCACAAAATATCATAGAAGAAAAATGTATGTTTTCAAAATTAAATAAAGGTGAAATTTTAATTAAATGTTTTTATGTGTTTTTTTTTTTACTAATTAAAAATTTTACAGCAAAGTGGATTAATAATTAACTAAGTGTATTAAATAATATGGCCAAAAGAAATAAAAGATAAATAAATGACCCAACCAAGATTTGAACCCAGGACACTTAGTTTGCTAGTAATATGCCTTTCCAATTAAACTGTTTCACTTATTCATTAATTATTATGTTCTTTTAAAACAAAAAGGAAAAAAAAAGTTGAGTTATTGGGCCAATAGCCCATTGGACTGACCCGGTTTTGGAGAGGTAAAGGAAGGGTTTTTGTAACCCTAATTTTACAAAGAGGCGCCGCCCAGCTATCATTGAGAAGGTCCAATCAATTAATTTGTCAATTATATCTGATTATTTCTCAATTAAATTCAATTAAAACAAAAAACAAAATCTATTATTTCTATCAGTCTCCCATGATCTATTCCACGCTTCTCTCTTCCTCACGCTAAAACGATTGCCTTCTATTCTTTCGCATCATCACCCTCATCTTTCTAAAACTCCAACCATTAATAGACCGTAACATCCTAAAGACACGACAAAATAGATTGGTAGCAACCAAGTATAACTTTGGTATGATAGAAGTTTGTAGAAGTTTGTAGAAGGAACAGGTGGACGAGTTTTGAGGAATTCGAGAGGCGTCTTAGGTGGATCGATATTGGGGCTAACTTTCCTCCACGCTTCAACGAAGGAGGAATTGGTGGTGGGGGTAGCCACGTCGGTGGAGAAGCGGCGAGTGGCGGCGCGGGAGAGGAAAGTGGATGTAGCGCGGCGGAACATGGTGACGGTAGGGTTGGATCGCTCGGGCTCGCAAGTCGGAGAGAAAATGAAGAGAGAGAAATGAGTACGATTGCGTGAGTGAAACAAGAGAGAGGGGAGAGGAGATCTGGTTCGGGATGGAGGAAACAGGAGCGGAGATCAGAGAATTTCTACGGTGGGAGCTCGGTGATGGTTTTGGAACTGAGGCTAACGATTCAGTAACAGTAACAAACTTTTCCGCTACGGTTAAATTGCTTGTTGTGATTGTGGTGTTAGGGGGTGTTTGGGTGACTCTAGAGATGCAAAAGCGAATATCAGAAACTGAAATAGTGAAACGAGAAGGAAGGAAATGGAGGAAAGTGGCGATTGTGCAGAGAAGTAGCGTTACAGTTGGTGGAGGAAAGAGTAACGGTGAGGATGATGTCAAAGCTTTAAGGTGATTTTATTTTTTACCCGATTCTAAACTTTCTGGTTTATTCGTAAACACGATAAAGTAATTTGATTTGGACTCAATTCTACCCTTTTTACTTTTGTAGCAGGGATTACATACGCAACATCAACAAGTTTTGATAGTGAATACATACAGAGATGCCGGTTTTATGCAAAAGGATGGAATGAGCATTACCTGTCAAAGTCTCTCCGCCAAGTTCTTCAAAAGGAAATGAATTCAAGATCTTCTATCTTCTCCCTTTATGCCTCTTCTTCTCTGTCTTTCCTATCTGTTTCGGTTATGAGTCCTTGGAGGTGCGACACCTGCTTAGCTAAACTTCCAGTTTTACGTACATACTGTGAACTGTTTTGATTCTCTAAGGCGGAAGATCGTAGAGGTATGAAAATATATTTTGTTCTTTTCTTGTATGTATTTTCTACTGTATTCTTGAATGAGTGATCTATTGTTTTTTTTTGTAAAGGGGTGCAATTGATTTTGCAGTGAGAGGTGGGTGGAAGGAAATAAGTTGAAGAGAAAGATGAAAAGTGAAGGATTTGTGTCCAGAACCAAAAAAAATGATGAACAGAAAGGGAGTATGTATGTTTATGGGTGATGCACGGTGATGATGGTTTTTTTTTCTTGTGTCCATGTGAAAAAGTCGGATAATATGGGAGTTAGGAGTTTTGTGAAGAAATTCCAAGGAGTTATTACCGTTGTGTTCTTTTTGATTGAGGTTGAAGTTTATTCTAAAGATAGAGGAAGTATAGTGTGACTTTTTGCTTTATTCTTATTTTTTTGAAAAGTTGCCATTCTCATGTAAGATTCTTGGATGTATTATGGTGCAGATTTTGCAGTATGACAATAGCAGGTTTGTAGGAAGATTTGGCAAGAGTTGAAGCAAATTGGATAGAACAAAAATTAACAGCAAGAAAAGAAAAAAATAATAATAATAATTAACCAAAAAAGAGATTGTTAGTAACAACTAAACTAAAAGTACAAAAAAAGAATTAAAATAAGAGACACAAACAAAAAGTATTTAGTAATAATAATAATTCAATTTAAGAAATTCAATTAATATTAGAACTAAATCAAAATTAAAAAGGAACTAAAATTATAATGACTAAAGAAATAAAAATGTAAATAAAAGAAAATGGTATTAACTATATGTTTTTTCTTTGAGATTTTCTGGATGTAAAATACAACTAAAATAAAGATGACGCTAATCACATGTTTTTTTAGATTTTTTCAAATAAAGTGATACAAACATATAAATTTAAATAGAATTAATAAAAGACCATATTTTTTATATTTTGAATTATAAATAAATAAATAAAAATAATAACACATGTTAAGTGCGTCTTTTGCAATTTTTTAATGGAAAAGAAATCATGAATAAAACACAGTCGAACCCAAATTTCACCAAATTCACAAAACAACTTTTAACGTCAACAATTTTTCATGGCTTTTTAATGCATAATTTTCCCTTGATTTATAAAGAAAAGTTGTGGATGATGTCAAGGAAAATCATGCGCAAAAACAACCTCTCAAAAATGTCGAAATTCGAAGAAGTTATGAATTTTTGAAATCTGACCCGAGAAGTGGCAAAAATAGGTCGAATCGCTTGTGAACGCTTGCTATGTAATAATGCAGATGGGGGGGTGGGATCTTAGGTCAAAAATTGGGGTACAACAGCTGCCCCTATTTAAGTTTCTTCTATCCGGAGATATGAAGATTAAAATCTTCGTCTCGACGAGATTGAAGGTACTTAAATACATAATACACAATTTTTGCCCTAAGATACCGCCATTATGTTCGATATGAATGTAGTGATTGAATTCACAGAGAAAGATATTGCATGAAACAAGACAATGTTGGGGGAATCGAACACCAACAAAACACAGCGGCATGGATTATACATTACTGGGGAAACAAGCTATCGACTTCAGACGACAGACTCCTGACAGCGAATAAAATCGAGGGAATACGACCTCTAACCGTAACAAAGAGAGCATCTTGCATAGGCCATAACAGATCATTGATCCAAAACAGTGAGTTCGCAACTCAAGGTCGATGGTAGACAGAGAGTATCAAATTGCTGATAACTGATTACCGACTTCTGGAGGTATAGATTCGTAACAGACTTCTCTGCTAGATTTTCAGAGATATACTCATTAATGCTGAAGTAATAAAATTGTAGATACGAAAGTTGTTCAAATAAAGAAAACTGCCACTTGTTGTTGTCCAGAGAAAATACCGATAACATACAAGCTGCTCAAATAAAGAAGCTGCCGCTTGCTGTCGTCCAAAGAAAATACCGATAACATACAAGTTGCTCAAATAAAGAGGCTACCACTTGTTGTCGCCCAGAGAAAATACCGATAACATACAAGTTGCTCAAATAAAGAGGCTACCACTTGTTGTCGCCCAGAGAAAATACCGATAACATACAAGCTGCTCAAATAAAGAAGCTGCCGCTTGCTGTCGTCCAAAGAAAATACCGATAACATACAAGTTGCTCAAATAAAGAGGCTACCACTTGTTGTCGCCCAGAGAAAATACCGATAACATACAAGCTGCTCAAATAAAGAAGCTGCCGCTTGCTGTATTCCAGAAAAGTAATAACGTACAAGTTGCTCAAATAAAGAGACCGCCGCTTGCCGTTTTCCGAAGAATAATAATGCACTAGTAGCTCGTGAAGAGCTGCTGCTTGTCGCTTTCAAAAAAACAAAGATGCACTAGTAGCTCATGAAGAACTGCTGCTTGGCGTTTTCAAAAAAGTAAAATGACGCACTAGTAGCTCATGAAGAACTGCTGCTCGGCGCTTTCAAAAAGAATAAATGACGCACTAGTAGCTCATGAAGAACTGCTGCTTGGCGTTTTCAAAAAAGTAAAATGACGCACTAGTAGCTCATGAAGAACTGCTGCTCGGCGCTTTCAAAAAGAATAAATGACGCACTAGTAGCTCATGAAGAACTGCTGCTCGGCGCTTTCAGAAAAGTAACGTACAAGTTGCTTGTGAAGAGCTGCCGCTTGTCGTTTTCCAACGGTGTCTATAACGTACAAGTTGCTCGTGAAGAGCTGCCGCTTGTCGTTTTCCAAAGAATAACTCAGAAGGAAATTGCGATGACACTGGTAGAGAAATAAAATCTTCATCAAAGAGAACCCTGAATCAATCCTTCCCGAGGAGATCATATATTTTAACGTGCAAAATAAATGCACCAACCGTCTAGGTCGCAATTTCATTGGGGAAAATCAATGAGATAGCCTATGCAAGAGGCAACAACTTCATCTAGGAATAAACCAGAGAGAAAACAGTCAAACAAGACTCCACCCAATGAGAAAGTAACTCGATTGGGGAATTTATCCTATCCAGAAATGGACAAGGTAAGCTAAATCAAAAATCATCCACGAGGATTAGCTCAGTTGGGGAATTAGAAAGGAGGCGCATTTTATGCTTAAGTTGGCACTCTATTTGGAAAGATCGAATGTGCTATTTGAAAAGACACAACCAAGGTGTACGAACTCAATGACATCAACAAATACAACTGTGCGTGCATGATGCAAGTGTGAATGAATGTCATGTGTATGCTGACAAAAACGACAGGGGAGATGGACAGAAGATGATAAGACATCACAGTACAACCCGGCGCTCGGCTAATCTCAAAAGGAGGGGAACATCACTGGAGATAGAAGATAAAAGCCATCAAAGGAGCAAAGTCATCCTACAAAGCTCAAATCTCTTGGAGAGGAAGATATTTTAGGTAGAAAACCCAAAGTCCAGTCTTCTACTGTTGACAACCCATTGAAAGGATAACAACACGAACAAATGCTTCAGCTGGAAAGAGTCATGCTTAGCTGGAGATACTGGGAACACCACCCTCTGATAAAGTGTGCGATACATAACACACATTCTGACAAGTCTAGATTGCCCCTGGGACCAATTGATGCCCCAAGTTTACTGCTGATGCACGACGATTCTTGCGAATAACTTCACTTCTAAAAAAATGCCCCCAAGCTATCTGGTTGATGAGGAGAAAATGTCTCAAGAGGGTTTACAAAAGACCTGGCATTCACCATGCTCTGGTGTCTTCAAACTTTTAGAGAAAATCATCCAATCTTGACGTGATTGCCCCGGATTGACTGTAGTCGGCACAACAAAGTCTTCGAATTTTTTCCCCAAACGAGCAAACAAATTGGGAAAAGCATTAACTAGGAGAAGCAACCTGTCCATGCTTAAGGTCTTCAACTGACATGCCCCTGGATATGATTTTCTTGAATTGATTCTCCAATTACTCAACATAGTTTCAAGCCTTAAAAGGGTAAACTCATCACTGGTGTTTATGTGAGCTTCCTTGATATCAAACAAATGTTTTGCAGTTAGAAAAAAGTTTACAATGAGAATGAGAATTCTAATGCAACAGTTATATAAGTCTTGAAGATTTTTGAAGGATATCGCACAAATTTTGCGAGCTAAAGCACCATTTATTTTTGTATAGGAAAAACATATGATACCAACATAACTATTTAGAACATTCATGGGAGTCAGGAACACTATCTCATTGAAGTATGCTTTCAGAATGACCTTGCTTCAATTAGGACTTTTGAAGGTTGTAATGTGGTCCGGTTTATGGTTTTTTTTTAGAAAAAGGTTTTAAGGCTCAAAATATTTGGTGCCCACCCATTCTTCATGATGTTCTCCAACCCTATGCTCGGTTAATTCAACCTGAGTGTTCATCTATCAAAAGGATTTTGTGACGGTAACATCTTTCTTACGAATTTTGAACACTCAATCAAATTAACAGAAAGCTACCCTGCCCCAGGTTAAAATTCAAGGTTTTTTCGTATAGAAAAGAAACTTCTGCTTCAAAGGCTCAAAAGAGGTTATCAAGGGATTATCTTCCTTATATCTCCAGTGTGTAGGGATTTGAATCAATGCCTGTACATCATCAACAAGATCTTATTCAAAAGCATGCAACCAAAGATTTTGTGTTCTTTAGATCATCATCCCCCCTTCAATCTCTGCCTAGGCAAGAGAATGGTCAGCAAGTTGGCATCATAATGCAAAAAGAAATTTAAAATTTGAAAACAAATATGAGTGAAACGAATGAATTTCTTCAAGACAAACATACTCATTGTATTAAAATGATCATTCAGATGCAAACAAGTTCTTACATGCAAACAATGTTTCGATGAATAAGAAAAGCTACAAAAGCAGAAACAAGTTAATAATCTGGGAAGGCTTTCCACTTGAACTACCAAAAATATCTTCAAAACTCAAAGTCACCCTCAGTCGTGTTTACTCTTCGGCGCCTGTTTGATTTGAACTTCAAAACCAACGTCCTTGAATGACAAGATACCACTTCTGACCAACT